ACAGACAACCTCTCGTCAATATGCGTTTTTTGCATTGCATAACTGCAAAAAACGCATAAAAATGCACCGTACGTTTTGCACCCATCCTGAAAACGTGAATGTAAATTCCTGTTTTTAAGTGTAATTTAGACGTTGCGATAGCTGGACATGTCTGAACTTACACTGTTTTCGGCATGTTCTCTAAAAATCGTGGCGTGCAGCGAGCACGGAAAAATTGTGACATCTCGTTTTAGCACCATTATATTCGACACACCAGAGCTCTCGTCTTATGCTTATTACCGTCTTTAACCCTCCTCCTTCGTTGCACATGCTACCGATCCGATATGCAACCCACAGTTTTGAAGTTTTGTGTTAAGAAATATTATTCACTGAGTGGAATTCTTGATTCAGGTGATACCGTTAGGATAATATTCATTGACTTCAGCATCCAGTTTTTAAAAAGTTATTAAAAATTTCAAAACACACAGATCCAAACCACAAGGAAAGATCTTGAGTTTTATGATCGAAAAAACTGGTCCCTGGCTTCAAAGATCGCACTGAGACAAATAAAACAAATTTTTTGATAAAACTGCATTTATAATTGTGACTGAAAGGAAAAAGCTATGGAAAGGAGGAACAGAGGGGAGAAACGGCAAAGAGGAAGATAAGCATAAGCGTAGCTCTAAATTCTTAGTCCTAAAAACTGCTGTGGATAAAATTAACAAATTTCTCATATTAAAGCGCAATTTTCAGCAGAAGGAGCAACTTCTGTCGCACCGTGTTTCCAAGCAATGATACAACTCCAACAGCACGGCCTATCACAAAATATTTCGGCGGCAGGGTTTGCTATTTTGTTCCAGAATCATCGCGGTGCTGCTTACAGTGGTCTACATTACCGCTGTATGACCGAGCTGGTGCGCACAGAGTGTCTTAAGGGAACCGAACAAATAGCGAAACAGACTGACTGATGACTACTTTTTGTGACTCATGTCCAGTGGTGTTTTCGTCCCATGGCAGTGGTAGCATGACATGGTTCGTCGAATACGGATAAAAGTGTGTGAGCTGCTTGTACGGCTGTTTTTCGGCCTGTTAGGCGATGTTATTTTAAGAAGCGAATTAAAAAGCAGGACTACTCCATCACTGACTTTCGTTTTTTTTTATTGGCTAGATTTATTAATTTAGTACCGAATAATAACAAACACGGCTCGTAAAGCAGAATGGCAAGCAGCAGCAGCAGCGAAAAAACTAGAAAGCGAACCGAGTAAGTTAAATTTTATACATATCAAGACGGGTCGGTCTATCAGTGTGGATGACGCTGTTAGCTATGTTACCATGGTACTTCCAAACGCTAAACGCAGCTATGCCAAGCCGTCGATGCTGGGCTGTGTACCTCCAGTTGTGCGCCACCTCTTCTCGGCACGCTTGGAGCTGAAAGAGTTGCACCCCATCGCGCCTCAACACTGCCTGTCTCTCGCACTCTCGCACTACGATGGGCTGAGATTTTGCGGGAGGCATTTTATACATATACTTGGAAATATGCGGCTGCAGCAGCGGACTCACTTAGTCACACAATGACAGGAAATTCCAAGTCAAATATAAAGCTAAAAATTTTTAGGTGCATAAACCCTGTTTTAAGAGCGTCTGGACACACTAAAAAAAAAAACTGAAGCGTTACTCAGTTTTTTTTTAATAACCAGCTGGGTAGTCCTTTTTCTTCCAAGCGCTACTGTAAATGCGAGATAACAGTTTCATTATCGTAATGTGCGAAGAATGCTTTCACTTAATGGGCTTCCGAAAGGCTAACGACGGTTTCAGGAACAACGCCGAAACGACCCCATTAACATCAACAAAAGATACTTGAAATAAAATAGAAGCTGATCAGTTCAGTTACTTGCTAATTCGTCACAAGGACAAACTGATGCTAGTTCTTTCCGGTTTGCCAGGAACATAAATCACCATCATCGTCCTAAGCAGCGGACGAACAAACAATTGAATCAGGCTAACGAATGTATGTACATATTAAAAGTAAACCCTCCCTATCTTTACTTTTGCAAGCGGCGCATGCGCACGGAAGTAGCTCGAGTGACAACAAGTGTTAATAGTAAATACCGGCTGACAAGCTCGCACTGCTCCTTTTAGAGGTCTGCACAGAAACAAGCTCTTTTACTTCAGTGACTTGTCTGATGCATTTTTTATTAAAAAACTTTTCAGAAAGATGGACCTACCAAAAGTCAGTGACACCCGTGACAAAAGTTTTCACAGCAAGAAAACGATATGGGATCCCGGATGCAGTAGACACGAAAAATGCGGTCGAGAATAAATCTTATGCTCAAGCTGTACTGGCAAAAAAGGACAGTGGGCAACCGCCACCCAATGAAAACAAAGTGAATTTCGCTACTTGGAAAAACCGCTCCACACGTTTGCCGGCATCGCAATAGCGATTTCCTGTCACTCTACTGTTGTTCACAAGCATCATGACCTGAGTCATAACATGAGTGAACGGTACACTTATCCGCTGCTGATGGTAGGTAGTTCAGTATCCCTTCATAACCGCCCAGACAAACACTGATCCTTGAGAGAGGGAAGAATGAAGTGTCTATGGTATCCAGATGACTACGAGAAAAGGCCCAGGCTGGAACACATCAAGCTAGCCAGAGTGAGCATACGTTTTTGCCCGGCTTTTTACGCAGGTTTCAGTCAGAAGCGAGTTTATTTTGCAGTGAACGACCGTCCTCATTCTTTTCCAACATCCAGTTCCAATTTTTCATTGAAAGTGGAAACGTTGCTGGAGCGGTTGTTCGTCAGAAAATCCAAATGTGTAAATGAGCTGGATGTTGAGAGAGGACAGGAGCGGCTGTCGCTGCAAAATGCAATCGTTTCTGAGTCTGTGGTGAAGCTGAGTATTTCTCATACCCAGTTGCAGGGAATTTCACTTCCAAGCAGAATTAAGACCGTACCGGAAAGTAGAGTATCCCATCGAAGTTTCAGCCTCGCACACTATCTGGTAAGGGAGATAGCCATTTCAGTACAAATACTTTAGAAGTGCTCTAAGTGGCAGCGCAAGTGCAAATCAGAAATCAATTTAGGTGTACGATTTTTGACATGAATAATAAATACTCTGACAAAATTTCTGCGACTGTTTTCCAGCTAGTCTTCGAGTTGGCACAGTGTTAAACTGCGAACTTTAACATGACCGTACGCGCGGTATAAGCGTTTGCAACAGCTGAATTTGAAATTCTTAGCTCACACAAGCACACAAGAATATCCCTAAAAAGTTTCAGCCTTGTACCTTGCATGGTTCGCGAAGTCGTTTCCCGCTAAAGGAATTTGCATATCTTTTTATGCGTTTTTTGCAGCTATGCAATGCAGAAAACGCATGCTGACAAGGGGTTGTCTGTGTGTCCGTGCGCGTGTGTGTGCATCTGTATCGATTTTTCATCTCAAGACCTGCAAAAGCTACAGGGCTGAAACTTTGGTAACTTAGTCTACATGCACGTACGGCCTCCAATCTCCAAAATGGGCGCCCTTACCTTTGTGGTACTCGCGTACGACCCGCTAAAATTTTTTTCGGATAAGTTCATAACTCGGGAATCTGAGATGGTACAAAGTTGAAATCTTAGGAGGATGTTCCTCGTCCAAGTGGGTATTAATGAGCTCAAACTCAACCCCGGGTAAGCGCAGTGCCTGCATGCAAGCCCGCCAAAATTTTTTTCCAGTACGTTCATAACTCGGGGATCTGAGAAGCTAGAAAGCTGAAGTCTTAGGGGGATGTTCCCCGTCCAAATGGGTATTAACGAGCTCAAACCCTGCCCCCGGCTAAGCGTTGTACCTATGTACGGGTCGTGAAAGTTTCTTTCAGATAAGTTGCTAACTCGGGAACGTGAGAAGCTAGAAGACTGGAATTTTGAACGGATGTTTCCTGACGGTCCTGGCGGCCAGTCTGAAATTTTTTTAGCTAGAAGCATTTGCCGGAAAAACCAGTGCCGTTAGCGACAAAAATCTGCGGGGAACTATGCAAAAAACGCATCATCGCGCGGGCAGCCCGCGCGTTGGCCAGTAATTTTTTTTTTCCATAGGTTCAGATCTTTTTTTTTGCTTTTTTTCATAGACTCAGGTTTGCTTTAATTTACTTTTCTTTTTAGTGCTGTGTTGATTCTCTCTTTTTACTGCTGTCTCCATCTCTTGCCTGGGGCCCTGACTTATGTCCCCCTCCCCCTTCTTTACCCTGTTTTCAAACCCTACTCGCAAACCAACATTTCATTTCTTCCCCATGCCCACTATAAGAGCGCTGTGCAAGCAAACAGTATTTCACCTTTTCCCCAACCTGGGTATCCACGGTAAAAACCAGGAGCACATTTCCTCATCCTTTCCATCCATCACTCCTCTGCCCCTTTCCCCTCCAAATGTACATGGACTAGCCAACCGACAAGGGATCTACCCCATGTAGCCATCAAGTTCACCTATCCGGCTCCCCTGCCGTGTCTCGAACCAAACCCGTAACACATCATACCGCCCCTACCCGCCGTCCACCCCCTGCCACATTCGAACTCCCACCATTCGTCTTGTGCAGCTCCACTTATCAGCAGAAAAAATTTTTCGCGGATTGTGTATAACGCCTGTCGATCTAAGCCTAGTTTTTGTAATTACCGGAAAATGCGGAGGATTTTTAGGTAACTATAATCAGTAGGCACTGCTTTCGATGGCTGGCATCCATCATAAAGACGGAGGGTCGTTTGACAGGGCTCGAAAAGCGTAACCAAAGAAATTGATGGCACAGGCTGAAAGCAATCAACTCAAAAGAACAAATTCGAGAACTGATATGCACGATATCTGTGTCATTTCATTCTTGAAAGTTTCACATCATCAGGCAGTTCTGACGACTAGTTAAAGAGAGCTGACAAATCAAACGGTTTCATTATCTTTTTTTAAGAGGACAAGCGTGATTCTTATTGTAAACGTTGAAAAGTCATCATAAAAAAACGCAGTAGGAGTGTTTCTTGTACAGTTCTACCATCAAATAGAATCACAATAAAGTGCGAATGATGTAAAAACTAGATCGAAACTCCATTAATTTCCTAAATCTGTCAAAGTAGAATCATTATCGGTTTCCAAAATAGAAGACAAAAATTTTTCGGATATTGTACATATTTTAAAAAATTAGTAAATCCGGAATTGTGGCTCTCATTTTTTCAATAGACGGCAGAGCAAAACAACTAATGGTTATTGTAGCCTTATCAAACCGCATAAAAATTGCATAAGTTGGGCTTAGAATTGTGATCGGCTAAAAGATTTGACAATGATTGTAATACCTAATTCAAGAGAGGAAGAATCCGGCTAAAAGAGGCGTAAAGTTTAGATACAAAAGTGCGACTCTGCAGTCAAAAACAGAGTAACTGGATCCATCAACGCCACAAAAACAAATTTAAGCAAAAAATGAAAGTGGTGGCAAAGACAAGACAGGCGCCACCTTGGCTAACGGCGTAAAAAAGATGCGCGCTTTCTTCGTTGAAGTTTGGGCGACTCCACTACTTGTTTAAACAGAAAATGTCAGACTTTTTCGTGTATTCAGTGAAATTTACCAAATTGCACTTATTCGTCGTATTATTATTGTTAGAGAAGTGGTACCGGGCGCACAGTTATTTATTACAATCGATCCTGTAAGCAGCAGCATCTTGATTCACCAATCACCAAATATGAAGGTTAGCCAGGAGGGCGTACGCACTGCTACAGTAATTTTTGACCGCTCGTTTTATGGTTACAGTTATAGTTAGAAATCATTTTCAGCTTCATAAGCAGGTACACACTCAACCAATGACTATATTTTTAGCGGATTTTTCCCATAGTCCAACGAGAAGCGAAAAAACACAGAAGTTCACGAAAAGCAGTCTATTGCCAGAAGATCAGGTTTATTTTTTGCTACTGCATGGGCTAACAAAGCTGATACACGCGTGTACTTTAAACGTCGAACGCCCAGTTAGGGGGAAGGAAGTAACGCAGAATCTTCTGACGAATGAGGTGGACAAGCGCTGTCATAAGTACTTTCCAACTTGTGAAACGATCTATCAACTTCTTTTCCTGAAAATTACCATTTTCGACTCAGTGACTTTCGTGAGCAACCCCCTTGACCTTCTGTACAAGTGTGATCTTTAACGGTGCTGCTGACTCTGCGGCGCAAAAGTGCCATCTTTCATTCGCCGGCCCATCTGCCGGACTACCTGCCCTCACCATTTGTTTCTCACGCTTCGTGTTCCATGCACTACTGGCAACAATAACAGTATCTTCCACAAAACGCAATTAAGCTGTTCGCTACTTATATGCTCTTCGAATCCAGTACTGTACATCTTCCCAAGAAAGCCGGAATGGTTTGATTAGCAAGAGCCACTGTGTCTTAAAATTTCAACAAAAAAAATTAAAAGCGAGCTTATGCTGTGAAAAAAATTTTTATTTGGTGAATTCAGGGGGTAAACACATTCTGCTTGTATATGATCGCTGCAGCTCCTGTCAATCTTTTTTTCTGCGAGAACTCACTGCACAGCAATCATCTTCACACTACTTCATTGCAGTCGACTGGAGTGAGGCAGTGCAAAGTTGGGACTCCCCAACGTAAACTAGCGATAGGCCAAAGTGTTATTTGTCCTGATGAGGAATCACCAGAATTTGAACAGGACAAAAAACAAGTAAGAATTGTGATTTCTTTAAAATGTCAGGATATTTAAGAATTCGCAGAATGACTGATCATTTCAGGGCAAGGAAATGGACCAGACTTGCGAGGATTCACTGGGAGAGTACCAGCTTTTCGGCCGAGGCTCGTTAACGTTGGGAGAAATGCTGCTAGAGAAACTTGGTCTCTCGACAACCTTGTTTTTCTAATGCCCATTTGTCCATGTGCAGATCGTATCAAACTGTTAAATAAACCAACTGTATTCTGTACTTGTTTACGTAAGTGGAATGGTTCACGCGTCTGAAAGATAGTTCAGCGATAAGCGTGGAGAGAATTGCGCCTCTAGCAGCTGTCCAATAGTGATATGGATTAAAACACCATGGCGAGAAGGCTGGCTTTGGAAAAAAGGACAACTTGAAAGGAAAGAGAAAGAAGAAAGAGGAAGGGGAAGGAATACAGGATAATGAAAAGGAGGAGAGGGGGGAAAGAAGTAGAAGAAGGAGAACTGCTTCATCCACAAGCACCGCATAACTTGTTCCATTTGCAAACGCCAGTAGTTTACCGCTATTGAGGTGAATTAAAACAACATAACATGGGATTTGGCGTTGGAACCACAGGCAGCCTCAGCAGGTCTGAGCGCGATGGAAAGAGAACGTGAGGAGAACAAGGAAAAGGAGGACAAATGGAGGAGAATAACAAAGGGAGGAGGAAAAGAAGGACGAAGTGCGGGGAGGGCTGGTGGACGAGGTATTCTTGAACGACAAGCACCGGGTGACCTGCGCTACTTATGGATGCCTATTCGGTCATTCAGATTACCAGCACAGAGGTCACGCCAAGTCCGAGCAAGAGAGCGAGGGCGGAGAGGAGGAACGGGAAAGGGATACGACTGCGGCGGTACGGTGTGAT